GCTCTTCACCCTCTCGACGAGATCAGCTTCGAGGACAGAGGCATCCACAAGTCCGCTCTGCGTGTATTGGCATGATCTCCGATACAGCAGTTTGCGAACATTTTCATCATACTGAAGAACCATACTTAGAAAGCTATTTGAAGTATACAAACCTCTCGCTTGCAGCTTCCTTGGCGCCCTGGCAGCTTCCCCTACACCACGCGTGCAGCCATGGTGCCTGAAATAACCGGCGCTGCCTGAAATAACCGGCGCTGCCTGAAATAACCGGCGCTGCCTGAAATAACCGGCGCTGCCTGAAATAACCGGCGCTGCCTGAAATAACCGGCGCTGCCTGAAATAACCGGCGCTGCCTGAAATAACCGGCGCTGCCTGAAATAACCGGCGCTCCTAAACCCTAAACCCTAAACCCTAAACCCTAAATAGTAGTAGTTGAGTTTATTAGAATGCTAGGTAGTTTGCATGGTTTGTTATCACCTTGCACTATTCTAGTCTAACAGGGATCTCGTGACCTGGCAGTTCGGCCCGACTTGGCTGGCCCTTATGGCAGCCGTGCTTCTGCTCTGCTCCCTCCTCTGCTATACTTCAGTGGTCTTCCCCGGCCTCAGCCAGTGGAGTTTCCTCCGCCGGCCTTGGTCTGGGTCGTCCGTGCTTTCAACTTGTGTTGCTTCCTCGGCTCCGACACCCCTTGACGGTCTCGGCCGGCCTTCGGCCAGTGAGTGGATGAAGGATGGGTTGGTAGGTGGAATGCGTATGGGTCCCTGGGACTCACGTCCCTTCCCCGGGGCCTCGGTCCGGACCGGGCCCGAGAGCCCGGCCGGCCTCCGCCCGGCCTCCTCCTCCCGGCCCCCCTCCCCCCTCTCCCACCGGCTTACCTGCCCTTACCTTCGTTGCTTGCCCCATGTCCACCTCATTTATTTCTTCCTCCTTCCCCCCATGGGGCCAACAGCTCCGCTCCGCCTCTTGTCCACCTCTAAGACTTGACTCGAGCCTCAAGCGCGCGAGGGGCCTGCACCGGCCTCCTCCTCCTCGCCCTCGCCCTCCTCAGCCTCCATGTCGACTTCCTCCCTCATCATCAGCCGCAGTCGGTCTTGCTTGTCGACCTTGCCCGTGCAGCTCAACCCATGGTTCTCAGCAAATTTACTGATCGCAAGAAACAAGAGGCTTACAGATCGACTCTCGATGTCATCGCTCTCGGCCTCCTGCTCGAGCGCATCAGTCGCTGCTGCCCTTGGAGAGAAGGCGCTGCCCCTCCTCGCTGCCTTGTTCCCTTGCACCCGAGTCCAGCGCTGCTCGCCGAGGTACGCTCTGAGCTTTTCTTTCAACATGTTTCGCTTCGATCCCAGCGTCGGCGTGGCTGCCCAAGCTCCGAGCGTCATGAACTCCACGTTGCCCGGCGAGCAGAAGGTGTCATGCAGCTTCCCAACACTCTTGTCTAGCTCCAGAGAGATCGGCTTGCCAGCTAGCAGCTCCTCCTCTGATGTCTCCAAGAGCATCGTCGAGAGGTCGACCAAGACCTGTTGATCGACTGGCCCTGACGGCGACGCTGCTTCCATGGTGATCCTGTCGATGTCGCTGAGCTCCAGCCATCCAGCGCCTTGCTGCTGCCCTTGGGGCTCTTGGGCTTGCTCCTCGCTGCTCGGGCTCCTCTCCTCCTCATGCTGAGGCCCGTTGAGCTTGAACCCCACCGCTTCGAGCTTGACTTCCAGGATCCCTTCCAAGTAAAAGGGCATGTCGTCCATCAGGCGTCGAGCGTCTGCCTTGGTCGCCAGGGAGAGAGCTATCGAGCTTCCGTCCCAGCTGAGCGTGTCACGATCCTCCTCGACCTCGACGCTGACCGGCGTCACGCCTATCCTTCTTGCTAACTCCAACATGGCTCGCTTGACTCTCGTGATCGATGTGTTACCTCCTCCGCACAGCGCTTCCATCTCCTTCCTCGAGAAGCGGCCTGTGCTCATGCTTGACCTCGACTTGATCTGCACTCTGAAGCTGCTGCGCCCCGCATGATCTCTCTCGCGAAGTGCCCTCCTCTGCTTGGCGATCTTTCCCCTAGGAACGAAGGTGTCGGCTGTGAGCTCGACTGCAAACGTCTCTCTGAGCTTGGCGTCGTCGCTGATGAGAGTGAGATGCACCCCCTCCATCGCCTCGCTCTCTCTGAACGAGGCCAAGGTCTGCTCGCAACTTGCCGTCGAAGGCGAGCTGAGCACCCACTCCAGCTCTTTTTGCTGGAGAGTTCCCGTACTTGCCCCAACAGCGACATACGTCTTCGGGCTCGGCCCCTTGCGACCTCTCTGCCCAGCACCCTGCACGAGCATGCCTGCAAGCGGTTGTACCTCTGCGGCTGCAAGAGATTGCGAGAGCAGCTGAAATCGATAAATCTGAGCGATCTCGGCCGTCGACATTCCTCCGAGAGCTAGGAGCTGTGATAGCTCGGCAAGGCTCCCTCCCTTGCCCCCAGGTCCTCGCTTGGCTCGAAGCTTGAAGGACCGGTCGTGTGCTATGCTCACCTCTGTGGCTCGAAAGACTCTCCCTTCGATAGTGTATTCTCTCCTGCCTTCCCATAGCTCCATGGCTGCTTCATTCCGAAGGAAGGAGACGGTGACTGAGATGTCGTCTGCTCGTGCTATCTCAGGTCTGTAAGGTGCTTTCCACATGATGGCCTTGTCGACTCCATCGACTGAGTCTACCATGAGACCTAGGTCCATAAGCTTCGTTTTCAACTTTTCTTCTTGTCGAACAAACATCGAGGAAATCCCTAGGAGAGTCATGGAGATGAAGGAGGTCCCCTCGGTGCCTTCGGTGCCGATGTATGTCTCGACATTCTGCTTCTTGGCCTCCTCCATCTGTTGAATAAACCATGCTTTCGACTCTGAGCTCCATTCGCTCAGAGAGTCTTCAAACAGGTCGCGTCTCGCCTGCCGACATGTCGAGCGGATGGCTTCAGCGATAGCGTCGGGAGTGCATCCCCCCTCAGCTCTGCAAGCATAAGCTGTCCGACTATTCGGATAACGCTTGGTGAAGTTCTTCACCTTCTCGACGAGGTCGGCGGCCTCCTCGACGTGGCCTCCTGAGCGCTCACCCTGCGTGTATTGGCATGATCTCCGATACAGCAGGTTGCGAACGCTCTCATCATACTGTAGTACCATGCTTAGAAAGCTGTTTGAACTATATGAACCTCTTGCTCGCAGCTTCCACCGGTCCCCTTGCGCTCTCCCTACGCGCCGCAGGGCCGCATGCTCTTACTAAGGGCCGGCTGCTCTTACTAAGGGCCGGCTGCTCTTACTAAGGGCCGGCTGCTCTTACTAAGGGCCGGCTGCTCTTACTAAGGGCCGGCTGCTCTTACTAAGGGCCGGCTGCTCTTACTAAGGGCCGGCTGCTCTTACTAAGGGCCGGCTGCTCTTACTAAGGGCCGGCTGCTCTTACTAAGGGCCGGCTGCTCTTACTAAGGGCCGGCTGCTCTTACTAAGGGCCGGCTGCTCACCTTGGCCTTCGGTCGCCACCTACTCTTCCTCCCTTCAGCTTCCTCAGCCTCAGTCAGAAGAGTTGCCTCTCCTCACCTTGGCCTTCGGTTGCCTCCTACCTTCTCTCCTTACCTTGCTTACCTTGCTGGCTCGTCGGTTGCTCTTCGACTTCACCGTGTTGTCTTGCTTCAAGCTTAGCGCAGCTCAAGCTCGGTACGGGCTCGCCCCGTCTCCTTCCTCGCCCTCGCCTTGCTCTTGTTCCATGTCCGAGTCTTCTTCATCATCTTCCCTCATCTCCACCCGCAGTCGGTCCTTCTTGTCCACCTTCAGCGAGCAGGCCAGCACATGCATCTCTGCGAATTTACTCAGTGCTATGAACAGGAAGCTAAGAGATCGACGCTCTATGTCGTCGCTCTCCGCCTCCTGCAGCAGCTGCCGTTGCCCGTGGCGAGAACGCGCTGCCCCTCCTTGCCTTCTTGCTGTCTCCTTGCACGCGAGTCCACCGCTTAGGATTTAGGGTTTAGGTGAGAGTTTAGGAAAACTTGGACCAAGGATCAAGGAGAAAGAGAAAGCTTCAGATGAGTCAAGGGAAGAAGAGTAGAAGTTAGCAGTGGGCGAAGGGAGGAGTGTAGATGTTAGCAGGGGGCGAAGGGAGGAGTGTAGATGTTAGCAGGGGGCGAAGGGAGGAGTGTAGATGTTAGCAGGGGGCGAAGGGAGGAGTGTAGAAGTTAGCAGGGGGCGAAGGGAGGAGTGTAGAAGTTGGCAGGGGGCGAAGGGAGGAGTGTAGAAGTTAGCAGTGGGCGAAGGGAGGAGTGTAGAAGTTAGCAGTGGGCGAAGGGAGGAGTGTAGAAGTTGGCAGGAGGCGAGGAGAGATAACTGTAGTAGTTTGACTTATTCTTGATCAAATGGTCTCGAGGAAAGCGTTCTTGGTGTACAAACACTGCCTGATCAACCAACAGCCCTGCTGTGGCGGCCTCCTCTCCTGTATCACAAACACAGTCAGGAACAGCTTGTCATTACTTCTTCATCATGCTGCTCCCCTCTTCCCCTCTCCCCAGCTCACCTCCCCCTGCCTCTTATTTTTCACTCTCTCTCCTTTCTTCCGGCTGAGTTCTTCTCTCCAACCCCTCCACCTTTCTTCTCGCCTCCGCCACCCTACTTCATCTTCCCCTCCATCCTCGGTCCCCTCATCTTCTTTTACGCCACCTGCTCTAGGGTCCACAAGAATCGTCTCTTGTCACCATTCTTGGTTGTTATATGCGCGATCTGCGTGACGTCAGCAGCAGCAGCAGCAGCAGCATGCGTTACCTGAGTCGCGAGAGCTCCGCGAGTGGGGGAGGAGGGAAGGAAGTTCATGTCTTCTCGCTCGTACTTCTCGCATCTGACGAGGGACTGGAAGGTCGGGTTGGACGCGTACTTGATGAAGTGCTCAACCGTAGTCCCTCCTGCCCTGCTGTCGTCTCCTCCTACAGCCGACCTACACCAAAGGTTACCGGCACTGGTTCGAGAAGGAAGAAAAGAAACGACATGGAGAAGGAGAAGTTGGAGCAGCAGCAGCTTCACGAATTGGAGAAGGGAAGAGGAGGAGAGCCAGGAGGGGGAAAGACAGGAGAAGGAGGATGATGACACAGAGAGGCAGGAGGAGGAGGAGGAGGAGATTGAAGAGGAGAAGATTGAAGAGGAGGAGATTGAAGAGGAGAGGAGGAGATTGAAGAGGAGAGGAGGAGATTGAAGAGGAGAGGAGGAGATTGAAGAGGAGAGGAAGAGGAGGGGCAGGAGGAGGAGGCAGTAACCTGCACATGTTGTTGGAGAAAGCGAAGCATCTCTTGAGCCCGGCGTCTATCTCAGGGAAGTCGTTGTGCTTGAGCCCTTCAAGGATGTAATACATCACTTCCTCCGCTGAGAACTCCGGGCTCGGTTCCATCGGAAGCTTGCTAACATGCACCAGACTGTCGCCGTCACGCTGGGGCAAGCAAGCAACTATCGTTCTGGTTCCGACATGCCCGCGAGCTGGGAGCATCGGGGAGCGCCATGCTGGTTTCATAGCCCAAGGAAGTCTAGCAAGACCTGGCGCTTGAAATGCCCAGGACTCAACAACCATGAAGAAGTGGGCAAAAACAAAGAACGCTGTTGTTTGACATGTCTGAGACAAAGATATTGTGAGGAGACGAGTCATATCAGTTGTCAAGGTAACAAAGACGAATCGGGTGAGCTTTTGATGACGCTGCAGATGAAGCCGTGGCGCTGATGCTGGTGATCTAGCAGTGACTTGTCGGTGTTATGCGGACGATCTATATGTGGCAAGTGAGCTGGTCAGTTCAATAGGCTAGACGTACACTTCTGGAGAGGGAACGAAACGTTCCAGCGCTGGGGTGTTGTGAGGAGTGAAAGGAGGAGGAGGAGGAGGAGGAGGAGGAGGAGGAGGAGGAGGAGGAGGAGTACCTAGCAGCACTGTCAGGAGTAGTCGAAATCAAGTCGAAATTCTTTATGTGTATACTAGCTGGTGGACACGGCGTTGCTTTTGCCATTCTAGTACGATATATACACAAGTTTTATAAATTCTTGGTACAAGCTAAAATGTTATATCGATCCGACGTAGGCCGCTGGATGTCCAAGTGATGGGAGCGGAGAAGGAGAGCCAGGAGTCGAACAAGAAAGATTGCTCGGAACTCAAGGTAGCCCCTACTTGTATCTCCCTCTCTCCTCCTCCTCTCCCCTCCCCCCTTTCCTTCCTCCTTCCCTCTCTTCTCCCTATCCTCACTCCCATCCTTCCCTCCCCTCTCTCCCCTCCCCCCTCCTTCCTCACTTCCTCCCTTCTCCCTATCCGCTCTCCCTCTCTACCTCCCTCCCTCTGTCTTCTTGCCTCGATGAAATCCACTCACATCCATCCTGCTGCCATGGCTCCATGCCTCAACGCCTAGCTCTGCACTACCTGGTTACCCGTGCCCATTCCCCAGCGCTTTGATTCCAAAATGTAGTTTTCTAAAGCGTTACAACCGATGCAGAAGATGTACGAGGCGTGCTTTAGGAACTGGTACACAGACAAGTTTCTTCGTGGAGTCACCACCCCTGCTTGCCAGGATGAATGGGAGGTCTGAGTAGGGGTTACTTTAATGCTTGTTTTGAAGCCGTGAGCAGGATTATAGGGAATGCATGGTCGAGAGCTTGAAGTCTAAGAATCTGAGCCACTTGATCGATCGATAATGGTATAATGTTTCTGTGATGATGAGTAGCCGGGTGTCATTCAGGCTCTCAATAAAGTAGAATCCTCACACAGAACGATGATTGCAGTCGCCATATCAATGTACTTCGAGATATGCTGTTTGCGGAATCTTTGATCAATCGTTGGGCTGCGGAATCGAAGGAGGATGACTAGGAAAACTACACGAGGGCTCGCAATGAAGGACCCAATGCACGGTACTGCGATGAAGTTCTGAAGCAGAAGAAGAGCTAAAGCAAGATACAACAATGCAGAGATTCCTGCAAAGTAGCTGAAGCATGGAGAGTGAGATTACAGCAACTTACAATCGAACTTGATGGTCATCTTGAAGGCACATCGCAAGGAATCAAGACAATTGAAGTGACAAGGGTAAACAAGTTTCAATCTCAGCAAGACTTTCATCAATCATTACGAGAGTCTCTCGATTCGGATACATATCTTTTGTCATCCCTTCTTGCCAGCGTTCCCCATAGCTGGTACGCAGAATTGATCTGTCTGTGTCTTCGCCTTCTTCTGCTTCTCTGAGACAAGAAGGTTCAGTCGGGTGGCCGCCTGGTTCTCCGGCTCCATCTCTAAAATGCTCCTGGAGTCCCGTTCCGCCTCCTCGTAGTGACCCAGCTCCAGGTTCGCTTGCGCTCGCCTGAATTTCGCCTTGATCATGTTCGTTCGGATCGCAAGCGCTTGACTGCAGAACGCGATAGTTTCGTTGTACTTGGCCCGCTTGTAGCACACGGTGGCTCTATTCGTCAGCAGTAGAGCCCTTTCGTCCCCCACTATCCGCCGATGCTCCCTCGAGCCCTCACCCTCCTCACATAGCAGGAGGTCAAAGGCGCTTTCATAGAAGTTGTTAGCTTTCTCGTACTCGCCCGACGTGAAGAATTCGTTTCCTCGCTCTCGGCGTATCTTGACGTGGCGCATCAGGTCCTCGAACTCCATGCTCCACGACGGTTTGACGTTGAAGATTTGACACTCCCACAAGATGTGCTCGGACTGCCCGAGCTCAGGCAGCAGAGGCTTCTGACTTTGACCGACGCTCCTCGCTATCTCACCGGAGATATCGATCAAAGCGTGCTGCCCCTCCTTGAGATGTAGTAGAGCGTCCTCAATGTACTCGCCCAAATCTCCGTGTCCTACTATGACGCTGAAGTTTCGAGAAGGCATGAAGACGTGACCTGCAGACGTTGACCCCTGCCAAGCACGTCAGCTCTTGTTAACGCTCGCCAACTCCCTAAGAGACTCACATGTAGCACGAGTGTGACGATGGACAGGTCTTGTATGTACATGAGAAATGACAGAGGAGCTCCGATGATCTTGACGTTCACTGCTTCTAACTTGTCGCTCTGAAAGAGTTCAAGCTTGACATCCCAGTCGACAAGCTCGACGTAAAACTCCAACTCGGCATATGGGAGGTCTGGACAATAGCTAGCGCAATGCCGTGAGGTAGTCTGTCCGACAGCTCTCTGTAGTCGTGACGAGTCCTTGTGTGATTCAAAAGATATTCCTTGAATTTCGTCCGGGCAACGACTCTGAAATCAAGAGGGTCAATAGCATGAAAGAGTTTCATAGGAGCTACATCGCGAATTCTCTGATCAGCCCAGTCACACCTTGACCAGGACCCTGTCTCCGCAGTGCATCTGCTTCAATGCAGACTCGATGGCTTTGATGGGTGAGGGCAACTTGCCAAGATGAGACGATTGCTCGTACACCATTTCACTGTACATGACACCCATGTGTGCGAACTCTTTCACATGATCCAAGCGTGACTCCGGCGGACGGCTCACCGTAAAACAATGATTGGACGGTGCGACACTGTGGAGAGTCCTCAAGAGGCTCCTCGCACTGCGGCAGGCTCTCAGGCCCGAGGAGTCCTCAGTGGCCCAGGCTGACTCGGATTGTCCTCGTTCTGATCTTCACTGATAGTAAGTTATCAGTACTGTATGATGATCAGCTTTACTCAAAGTCACGTTGCTGAGTTAAAGATCAGCTGGCAGTGCGACCGACAGTACGATGGAGTCCTGAGGGTCAAGAGGCTCCCGAGTCGACTCTGACTCGGAGTCAGAGTCCGATCCGGCGACCGGCAGTCTCCTGGCTGATTGTCCTCACGGTTCTGATCTTCAATAGTAAGTTAGGTTTGGTTCTCGCTGTCTTTTCTCTTCTCGCCGTTTGGCCAGTGCGACAGTGTCAGGGCCGGCGGCGGGGTCAAGCCGGCCTCCTCGACTGAGTGACTCTCCTGATTGTCCTCGTACTGATTTTTAACTTAACTTTGAGTAAAGTTATCATTACTGTATGAACATCAGCTTTACTCAAAGTTAAGTTAGTTTTTAGCTAGTGTATAGAGTGGCCCGTCGGGTCCCCGATGGATGCCGCAGTGCTGTGCTCGGAGTCGGGATATGCCGGTCAGTTATTTTACGCCGGGGGCCGAGGGTCCGATCGGAAGTCGGAAGGGTTTCACAGCACTTTCAAAATGAACCGAAAGTGTACCGTAAGTATACAAAAACAGTTTTAAGACTTGAAATTGATTTCAATAAGTGTACCGAAGATTTTCAGTTCTGATGATTGAAATTTAATTTACTTAAAATAAAATTCTGTTTTTTTTATTTAATTTGGAGGTACCGAAAGTGATTCAGCATAGCATAAAATGATTTATTTTAGTTCAAAAGCTCCACTTTTAGGACCCTACCACACACCTCCCCCAACTTGTGCACTTCCGAGTCACGTAGTCATCGAGTTACATCTGTGAAGATGACCCCTCCTCTTGCGCCACCTGTTGAGGGTATGGATCAGGGTACGGACCCCCCTACCCTCTGAGTCCCGTTGCTTGCTAAATGGAACACCCACCCACCCACCATCGCTCCTGCCGAATTTCGTACACCCTCGGCTTGGTACATAACCTGCAAAAAGATTACTACCCTACCATTTATCGGAGCTTCAATAACCCCACCCCCTTTTGCAATTATCTAATACCGGAACAAAGTATGGTAGGGGTATATACCCTGCTAATCAAGTTGACAATGCCTAATGTTCACTTTTGTCCATCCACCCCTACCATCTAGTCGAATCAGATATCCTATTCCGTACCTGACTTGCCAGTACCCCATGCTTCCGCAAGAGTCGCAGAGTGATATCTAGAGGTAGGGTACCTGTTGGAATCCCGAGAATGCCGAGTCGTCGTCTTTCCTCAACATCTTTTTTGAAAACTGTACCACTACCCCTCCATTGAAGCCCAGTCCTTGATATGGAATGATATCTACCCCTATCAACAGAGATACAAACACATCAATGGGGGGTACATATCCGTGAAATTGAATCACCCACCGTACCAGAAGAGAGCCATGGATCACGCACCCCCTACCCCCTCCTCAATCATCCGAGCACCTTTCTCTGGTATTTCACTACGTGGACCCAACACGCTCTTCCTGTTCCACGTTCCGTCGCTCCCCTTGACCCTGAGCAGCCTTGTTGATCGCATCATCGCGCCTTCCTCCTTCTAGCGTCATGCAAGTCTGCTCCCTCCCTCTTCTTCCCTCCCTGCTGCCACTTGCTGCAGAACTTAAACCTATGAGTATTGCGGACCAACAGCTCTCGGCGATCCAAAATCAAATATCGCAGCTCCAAGCTCAAAGCTCTGTTCAATTCCTCCAGTCACAGCTGCTACAGCAGGAAAAATGCTCACCTTCACCATGCTCATCCGTTCAAGAGGAAAACTCAGACCCTATAGCTGAAGCGATCAAGACCTTGAACTCTAGGCCCAATCGATCATCGAGGGAACATAAGAAGTTGACCTTAGCAGAGAAACTTGAAATCATTCGATGCCACGAGACAAAAATTTTCTCTCAGACGCGCCTGGCTGAGCGTTACGGCAAGAGCAGATCTGCCATATCAAAGCTTTTGCAGCCGGACAATGTGCGAAAGTTGAAAGAGCTTGCTGGTGCTGGAGTCACGACCAAGATGAAAAGATGCTCCTCGGCCCACCACCCTGAGTTGGAGAGAAAAGTGCACGAGTTTTTCAAGACAGTTGGGCGTAATGATCCCGCCTGGAGGTTCAAGTTGTGTATGTTCGCTGAAAAGACAGCGATCAATCTGGGAATATCTGGTTTCAAGGCCAATCCTGGATGGTGCTTCAGATTCCTTCAACGACACGGCTTTGTTTCATCTACAGAAACGCCGGAGGACTGTATGACAGAGAGTTTGGTGAAGCAGGAGGTGGAATCTCAAACCAGCACGCCAGATATGGGAGGAGAGTTCAGCGCATTCCAAACCGTGAGGAGCATAGCCCCTCCCAACCTCATCAACTTGAACGCTGGAAACGCTGAGTTGCCGTTGCTTCCAAGCCTGTCGGCTATACTTCCATTGGTTCTGAATATGCAAAGAAGAATCTCATAGACGCGGATACATAACGCGAAAATTTAATTGAGATTGTGCTATATGTACATCTAAGAACATGAAGTGAATTTAACACTTTCAATCATCACAAATTTCAGTAAAATTGCTTTGCTACTAGATAGTTGTCTATGTAAGAGCGTCTGCCAACTTCCAACTTGCAATTTGTCAATGGAATTCAGCCTAAGCTCTTTTCAGCTCCTCTGCCAGGCTATCTCTTCGTCGCCCCCCTTCCCCCTCGTTCCCCTCTACCTCTTCGCCTGCCTCTACATCCTCGTCTCACCTCCTTCCCATTTTAGCCCTTCTCCCTTCCCTCCTCCTCCCTCTCCCCTCCAGGTCTCTCTGTTCCCAGCTCATAGTCATGTGATTTTCCACTCCAACTCTCCTTCCCTTAATTCCACGCCCCTATCCCATGCTACCCCATCATCCTCCGCTAACCTCATGCTGCCCCATCCTGCTTCCTCTCTCTCACTGTTTTCCTGGCTCACTCGCCATCTACATGCGCTCTTGCTCAGAGTCGCGGCCTTTCTCTCCTTTCCTCTCAGTGAGTCAGTAAAGGCTGTTCCTCATACAGCACCAGCCACTACCCCCCTGCCGAAGAAAAAAGTATCCCAGGTGGTGGGGGGGGGTAGCTGCAGAGGGCGGGAGCGCATGCATTAATTAGAGGAATGGATCAAGGCGGGAAGAGGGGAGGGGAAATGAGAGAGAAGGGAGGCGGACGAGGTGGATGACGACACATGAGTGTATGAGGGAGGCATAGACGTTGCAGGCGTTCAGAGTTCTCACTGGTAGAAGGAAAGAGATCAGGAATGTTGGGAAGCAAGAATCAAAGGCCCTGTTCTAAATGCGAGACAAAGGGCTAGGATCACATATGTTGTTGTGTCGTTGAATACTTGTCTGGCTAGTTGTCTTCTCATCCTTACGTGATAAAGTTTTCACAAACCTCAAATGAGCAGGCAGGCTGAAAGGATTGACCAATATGTCGAGAAGTGAAACAAAGGATTAGTTTAAGCGAGAAGATGGAAAAAGCACTTATGCCCTCATCTTGATAAGGAGACTATTGTATTTGTGTAGGATGTTTCAGACCATGTTGTATTTATGTATGTTGTTTCAGATCCAGCGGTATTCTTGTGTGTGATCTATGATTTTGCATCAGCAGGTTTCCATGGACGCTTCTTGGAGCACGCCTGCATCGTCAGGAATCCGCGTTCCGCGTGCAGACGCGTCAATGTCAGTGGATTTGGGCACGCCGTATCATAGCTGGCGCGAGGGACAGGAAGCAGATTTGACGTACAGGATCATGAGCAAATCTCCCGCATATTCCCCGTTTCACACCAAAGACAATGTGACCGGTATGGAGGAGGATAAAGAGCATCAGGAAGTAGGGGATCAGGCGGCAGATTACTTGGAGGAGGATTGGATGCATCCAGTCGCGGACCTGTACAAGTCCACCGCACGAGATCTTGATGCTACCGAGAATCCTTTGCAGGTTGCCCAGCCATTGTCAGAGTTTGTCATGCAGGCGCTCGACTTCCACCTGGCGCAGATGGAGGGCAAAGACTCCTTGTATTCAGCCATCGGTCGCCTGTTTCTGCTTCTCCACTTCCTCTTCTATGACACGGCAGGATCGTCCTACCTATGGCCACTTTCGCCTCTGAGAAATGTGCAAACGAAGGCAGCGGGGTTTTCCGAACTTGAGTCAATGCTTTACCCACCATCGTCAATGATCATCGCAGGTGCGTCAGGAAAAGGATTGAGGAGTTGAGGGTCTTATGAAGAGACATTTGTCGTGACTCTGCTTTTGGTCAGATGACGACAGTTTCGATCCTGCTCTCTGCCACCTCCGGAGGATTTTGTTCTGGCTCGAAAGCGACTGTGTTGGGATCAAAGAGCTAGAGGAGCAGCTGGATCAGTGGTTTCGTGGGATCAGCGGCATGCGGTCGGACTCAAAGAAGCTTGAGTTCTCAGAAGAGCTTCTCACCCTTCAGGGCTGCTCCTCTCAATCGGCGCTAATCAGCATGACGTCCATGAGTGAGAATGTTGCGAGACCACCTGGCCATGACTGAGCTTCTTCTTAGTATTCTGGCACATACGGCGGGGCGAGCTTGTGATGGCACAGGAGAGATGTCGGAAATGCTCCGGCACCACCGACGCGTACAAGGAGGCAAGTTTGTGAAGTTTGTGCCTGGGCCTTTTGTCCGAAAAATGATCGCGATTATTCAGGGAGGAAAGTTATGGTGGAAGGCTGCGATGCTCGAGCCATCGGTTTTTTACTTTGAGCCGTCCCAGGTTTACTTTCTCGCTTTGTTTGGCCGACCTCATTGATGCCAATAGATGGCATGTATGCGAAACTCAAAATATGCCGAATGGCATCAAATCAAATCGTTGGATGACTGCGAAGAGGGATCCATTCAGGTCATAATTCTTGCTTTTTGTTACCTTCCTGTATGTTGTTTCTTCATCTTCGCATAAATTTCCAAATTCATGTTTGCCTCCCTTTGCTGTTCGGATGACTTGGTCGCAGAGTCTCCAGAACGCTTCACAATTTGGCAACGAAAAGATTTCGCCGCAAGCATGGAAACGCTTCAGGAGTGTGTGCCAATCCAAATATCGATCGCTTGCTGTACAAGAGCAACAGGTAAAGAAACAGCAGAACCTTGATGTTTGTTGTTCATCCTTGTCGTTGCTTGCAGATACGAAGGTCCAAGGACAAGTCGGAATTCATGCTGCATGCGCACGATCGAGCAATCTTTGCTGTAATGGCTGGAGTTTGGCCTGGGCTGCAGACAGACTTACATGACGGTATGGGAGGGAGAGAGAGAGATGACATGAGACAAGAGCTACGAGAAGCCAAGGTGCTTTCAGCAACCTCCCTGCACGGCCAAGCCCTAATCAAAACGACAGATCCTAAGCCGATGGGAGGATGAGCTGTGGTTTGACTTGCGAAGAATATTTGTTGAACAGGTCAAGAATTCGATCGATTGCTAACGAATTGAATGACGGGGACTCACTGCAGACAAGGAAGCTGCTGGAAGAAGATCACAGTGAGTCGATCATGCGGCAGGTCTAGTGGCTCTAGATGTTTGTGCATCATCTTACTCTCAAGGCAGATAAGCGATGCGGTCAGGCAGGCGGGCAATGTGTCGCAAGAGTACGACGAGTTTGTTTCGCGGACGAGAGAAGGGGACAAACGACATAAGCTGGTCAACACAATCGCTGAGATTCAAAGACAAGTCATCGCCCTCGATCTTCACGGTCTCTTTGCCGAGCTCGACAAGTTGACAGCGTTGGAATCTCTGGAGCGGCGATCACAGGAAGGCACGTCAAGCTCGCAGATGACAAGCTTGGCTGCTCATCTCGCCGTCTACTTCAAGACAATGCTCTTCATCCAAGGAGGGCAAACCTTGTCGTCCAAGGGCGCAGATCCTGAGAAAGCCTCATGGCATGCGGAGCTTGTTGATGTTCTACGAAAGATCGACCTGGTTGGTGGATTTTGATTTGGCTTCATCTGCATGTTCTTAGGTTTTATGGTCTAATGTTGTCTGCTCAACAGATATTGGAGCGGCACGTGGAAATGCTCATTGCTTGTCAAAGCTGGCAAGAAGTACCTTTGATTCTTTCCGTCACGCTAAACCATCTGGTAAGAGGAGAATAACAAGAGATGGCTTGCTGAGACGCCTCGCAGGTGTTCCCATGCCGTGCTAGGCCATTTGCAGAAGCATTCAATCGGGTGGTCCAACAAATGGCGCAAGAGAATGAAGCCAGAGTTGAGCGCCTGAGCATTCTGGTAGACTTGCTCGACTCTCTGTAATACTCTTATTACTTTGTCAGTTTTTGACCTCAGTAGAACAAAACGTCTCAGATTCTTCGGTGACAGATGCTGCCACTGTTGACGTTGGAAAATTGATTCGATTTAACAGTCAAGAAGAGATCTAATCAAGCAGATGGAGTTTTGGTTGGGGAGCGAAAGACTGAAGAAGACTGGAGAGGTGACTTTCTTGTGCTGGCTGTCTTGTGCTCTGAACTATCCAATATGTCTCGTCTACCTGTTTTTTTCCTTGTACTCCGAGGTTGAGTGTTTGCTCCTAGGAAGTAGCCGGCCAACTTGAAACTGGTTTGGGCCTCGACGTTGGTGAGAGGCTGAAAGAGATCTTTCTGCACACAAAGCAAAGTTTCCAAGCGATACACAAGGTGCTGTCGTGGCAGCTCGGGAAGTTTTCTGAACATGGTGGGACATGCCAGGCGCACGCATTCTTGTTGTCCTACTTTGCCGCAGAGAAGGAGATTGAAGGTTTCGAGGTAGTGCCGACTCGACTGCTGGGCCCTAATACCCACCTGCCAGGTTCGTCTATTGTCGTCAAGCTGATCGAGCTTGTGGCACCGAGAGAGACTGGGGACGCCACTGACGTGACAGAAGAGCTTGAAGTGATCACGCCTGACAATCGATGCAGTATGGACACTTCGGATCTCAAGAGTTTGAAAACTGCAAAGCACAGGCAATTCGAGGGCTTGTTTTGTGTGGCGTGACCGTTTTGTCAGCTTGTTTCCAACTTCAATCTCCTTGCCGACTACGAGGAAAAAGTTCTCAAGGAAGCCTTTGCGGAGAAGGAGGCAGGAGATAGTTTGCTCTTCGAGTACGAGAGAGAGCGGTCAAGGAGGACGCAACATGCCTTCTACGTGTATGTGCTCCCGAGCTTTTCGATTCTATTGAGCTTGTTTGCTGCAGTGAAGAGCTGGGAAGGGAAGTGGCCGCCTGCCTCCCGCGAGGATCCAGTGACTAACCTCTTTCTCCCCGAGCACCTCTGATGCACGCGTGGACAGATCTTGACGTGAGCATCGCACATTCAAGCTTCTCAGCGCGACAGACACAAGTGGCGAGTCACTCGCCTCTCGTAAGAGCAGCCGGCTTGTACTCGAGCTCCTTCCGAAAGGTCTCGATGCGCAAGAGCGAGTGGCGTGGGAGTGACGTGGAAGAAGTTGCATGAGGTGCTGTCAAGGGTGAAGGAGCAATCCAAAGACATCAGTACCCTGTTTTTCTACGTCAAGCAGGTGCCTCCTCCTCCTCCTGCCTCCCCTCCCCCCCGTCTCCCCCTCCTACTGTCTTGTCCTCCCCTCCCTCAAAGGCAAATGACTTTTGAGTAGCTCGCGCGGCTTTGCGTTTGGAGTGCGCTGTCAGACATCTTTGATCAAGAGATCGGGAGGTGACATGGATCAACGACAGTGAGGCCTCTGACTCGCTCGCAGCTTGCGCTTGTGGGAGTCGAGTCGTGATCGCTTATCACATGTATGAGGAGGACACGCCTGAGGGCGAACGTGGGGGGAAGAGGAAGAAAGCAGGGAGGGAGAGGGGGAAGTAGACTAATGATGATGTTGAACAGCGAGAGGTGGAGCGGCTCGATTCGTATGCCTTCGTTCATATGTACAGGTGGAGTTACATGCATGTCAAGCGAATTCTCAAGATCATCTCGCAGGATTCTTGTTGTGTTGCACTTGCGCCCTGTGTGGACCCAACTGGACGCAATCACGACCAGCGACGAGAAGGTGTGTCTTGTGTGTGGTTGAATCTCATCGGACTTCACCATTGTCATCTATTCTCACCATGTCTTCTTCGACCGCATTCTCATGGCTTGTCGTCCTCAGGCGCTGCCTACTTTCAACGAAGTCTTGCAGCCTTTGGTCAACAAGTAGCTGCTCTCGCTTGCCTTGTCTTGCCGCTCTTAACACCGCAGCAGGTTGATCGGGTATCAAGTGAATGACGAAGGTCTCATCGTCAGCCCGTGGTGAGTCCAACACGAGAGCCTCTCGCTATGACGGGCCGGCAGGTCAAGCTCCTACGTCAAGATCTGCGGCCTTCTCAGCCAAGTTCGGCGACAGAACGGCCTTGACGATTCAAGGTAGGAGAAGTAGAAGAGCATTGTCTTGAAGTCCCGCTTTCCAGTCTCTCACTCTCATCAGATGGAATGCCCTCTGCCTGGGGTTGGCAAATGTCATCGCATCCGAAACTACCGAAGTTTACAAGTGAGAACCCGACTGTGCTTGTCAGGGTCTTGCCTTTCCTTGCCTTGCCTTGCCTTGCCTTGCCTTTCCTTGCCTTGCCTTGCCTTGCCTTGCCTTGCCTTGCCTTGCCTTGCCTTGCCCTTTTTGTCTTGTTCTAGCATTTCTGGTAGTTGTGTTCTATGTCCTTTCATTTGGTTGTGCTTTGCTCATGTTCTCTTGTGTTTTTGTGCCTTGTCATGTTTTTGTCTTTGTGTTGCTTGTATTCGCCCTGCTCGTCTGTTCGCCTCATCTGATTGCGACGGCAGGGACTTGGCAGATGGCTGTCTCGATGCTCTTCTGCGAAACGACTGGGCGCTGGCGTCCCTCAATCTCTGGTGTAGCAACGAATGAAGGCAGTCTGAGACGTCTATCTGAATACATCCCGCCGCTGAATCTCCCTTGGTGCTTGATTTGAGCAGAGCTGATTGCTAGTTTATCGTTCATCTTCAATGTCAGTCCCTTGATTGTCAGCACGATTGCTCTCAGGATTTGTGCACTTCTCAGCTTCTTACTCATTCTCAGATACTTACTCATTCTCAGCCTCTTCCTCATTCTCAGCTTCTTCCTCATCCTCGGCTTCTTCCTTCTTCTCAGCTTCTTCCTCATTCTCAGCTTCTTCCTCATTCTCAGCTGCTGTGATATTATCACCATCCTCTTCATGTTCAGCTTCTTCGTTATCAGCCTCCCCTCCAAGGATTCTGCCGTCGACTGCGTGTCTGTCGTCTGCTGACTCTTTCTCTGTTGTCTCCTCCTGCTCACTTGCTTGGGCAGCGTCTGTGAGCACTTTCAGCGTTCGAGCAGAGAGTTCGTGGGAGGGACCGGAGGGTTTACTGGGATCGGCAGGCTGTTTCTCTTTGCCTTTCTTCATCTCCTTGAGCGCTTGTAGTCCCTTGGCACTTGTCAGGGTCCCCTCAAGGGTTCTTGTACCTCTACCTCTTTAAACCGCTTCGCTTGTGCTCGACTTGTTCTCCGAATCTCATGCCAACTCACACGAGCAGCAACGACTTCTTCATCACCTTGCTCTTCACCTTGGTCGGTTTCTCCACCACCGGGTAAATGATGTTCTGCGTGTATAAGTCAAGGGCATGCTCGAAGTCAGCTGTGCTTTCCTTGATGTTCAGATCCCTCGCCCACTGGGTAGGCGTCAGGTTTGCGTCATCTGCTCGAAGTGTCAGGGGTCGAAGGTCAGGCAAGCGTCACCTCGAAGGTTCTTCTTGGCTTGGTGGTTGACCAAAGAGATCACTACCTCCTCGTGCCCTCCTCGCGCGTCAGACGGACAAGATAGTCAACTGCCTTCACCTTTCTTGGCGGCCCAATGCAAGGGAGTCTCATTCATCGATCCTTGCTGTGCCAACATGAGCCCTCACTCCCTCCCTCCCTCCCTCCCTCCCTCCCTCCCT